TAGTTTGCCAATGGAATAAATATTTTTATTCTTAAAATAAGATAATTAGATAACATGCACTTGAAATAAGACAATGCAATAGTTTTTTTCTTTCTTTAAATGTAAATTGTCTTGTTCCATTGGCAAAATGTATTTTTTACCTTCTAAATCCAGGAACAAATGCACTTATTTTTATAAAAAATGGCTTATCTAGATTTCATTTTTTTTCCAGAGAGGATACACTGCAAAAACGATCTAAAAATAAGTAAAAATGTCTTAAATTAAGTGTATTCACCCTTAATTTGAGTAGGTAAATGATATAGTTAGCCAATGGAATGAGTAATTTTACTCTTAAAATAAGACAATTATATAAAATGCACTTGAAATAAGACAATGCAATAGTGTTTTTTTATTTTAAGTGTAATTTGTCTTGCTCCATTGGCAAAATGTCTCTTTTACCTCCTCAATTCAAGAACAAATACACTTATTTTAAGAAAAAATGACTTATCTAGATTTAGATTTTTTGCAGTGTAAGCATTTTGAGTACTAATCGGTTACTGACAGCGTGAAACATTTTTAGTTATTTCAGTGAGTGGGTTTAGTATAGCCTAAAAGGATGCAAATATTGCACTTTTTATGCTCTGCTAGAAAATGTTCAACTTTTAGGAATTTGAAAAACTGGGTTAGATTTTTTATTTTTTGATGTTCGTAAAATAATCTGAATACTAACTACTAACTTTTTGCCTCAGAGGAGATTGTGGATCGCCAAATCGCCGATGGCCTCATTCCTCCGGATCTGAAGGAGAAGATCATCTTTGTGTTGCTCAGAAAGCATCGTCACCAAACCAAGAAACCGATCCATCGCTCCCTGGCAGACATGGGAAAGTCCTCCAACACGCCCTCTAGTAAGGATTTGTGTTGGTTTGAATTTCCATGTAATTAATCAGCAACATCTTTGATGTAAGGGCTTAGTAATCTTCAGCCCCATAACCTCCCTTGTTTTCAGTGAGCACAATCTTCAGCATTTTCCCCTCATTGTAAAATCAGCTCTTTACTCATATACATGTTTGCTGCCTGTCTGTCAGACCGTAGCCCTCAAGTCAATCTGACTCGTAGTACTAGTTCATCTTCCGGGATCCACCGTTCCACAGAAGACCTTCGTTCTCGGCCGTCAAGCACCCTCAGCCGCCTGCGTGAGTCTCAACACATGGCATCAACACATATAAGGCCCATATACTGTACTCTGGTGATATATGAAAGACTATAGAAGTACTGAGGTGTAATATGCACATAAATGCATCAAAATATTCAGAATAATTGGTTTTGCAATAAAAGAGGTCATTGCTTTGTTCATTAAGTAGGATCTTTGGTGCTTATTACACATATTGAATTGTGCATTGCACTATAAAGCATGAGTAGAGTAGCATATTCGGCATACTGTATATCCACTATTATCCTAATACTTCTGCTGCAGAAAACTTTCCCAAACATTTCCAAACCTTTACATACCTACAGTTATTCAGTTAGTATCTACTCATCCAATTATTTTCAGACAGCAAACACTTAAAAAGACAATAAAATGCCTAATGATTATTATATTGCTCATGTGATTGCATGCAATTTGCGTTGCTAAGATTTGCTATGAGTTGAAGAAAATATGTTATTCTTCTTTTGTTAACACTGAAAAAAATGAAACTTAAAGATCATCGGTAAGCAGAAAAAAGATTTAAAACTGAAAGTATATTTTAAACTGTAGAAAAAAGCTTTGAAACAGCCCTAATTTGCATAAAGTCAATGACTTTGCAGGATTTACCCCTTCTGGATGAGCATGCGGTGACAGTATACATTCCTTTGCTTTATGTAATTGAATTTAGAGCAATCCCTCAGACTGAACATGCATGCAGCAACAGTGGAAAAACTCCCTTTTAATGGGAAGCGGCCTCCAGAAGAACCAGGCTCACTGACCTTTCTCTGAGTCTGACTGGGGTGCAAGGAAACAGAAGCAGACATACAAAAAGGAACATCTGATCTATAAATATTACAAAATGGGTTGTAACAGTAATCCAGCTCTATAGTCTAGAAATTCACAGCTAGTTTTAATGGCAAAAGAATAGAAAAGAGAATGTAGAGTTAGTTACAGTCAAAGCCCATAGCTATGTTGAGGAGAGAAACAGGACCAAACACTGAAACAGACCGAACTCTATCATCTGTAATTTAACGTATAGATGGCAGCAGCTCAGCTGATCCCTTCCTCTGGACGGTTTTATTCTCTGTTTAAATGATTGTTTTAAGAAAATAACGTAATAAGATAGACATTTTTCTTCAAGTACTCTACAAAAACTGATTTGAAATACATAGAAATGTCTTAAAATAAGTTTATTCAAACTCAAATGAGCAGGGTACGTTAATAAGATGTTCAGCCAATGAAATTAGTATCTATGCAAATAAAATACCATAATAAGATGTTGCCCAGTAGGTGCCCAGAGAAAAAGGTTGATTCCAGGTGGTTGACTGACAAGAGGCAGTGGACTCTACAAGCGAGTTACAGATGCTGAAGCCTTGAAGGCTGCAGATTGAGCAGGAGGTCAGATCGAAGCAGACGAAGGAAGGCAGGATGATCCAGGTCAAAGTCAGGAAGCGAAGACAAGTCAGGCAAACAGATCAGAACAGGGACAGGCAGGCTCAAAGGTCCAACAGCAAAACGGGTCAGGATCAGGAAATCAGAGCACAATCAGTAATGCTACAAAACTCTCACACCAAACACTCAAGAATAATGCAGCACTGATGAGTGGGAGCAAGCAGTTTAAGTAGAAGCTGGAACAGGCGGATCAGATGAGTGGTAATGAGAAACTGGACGGAGCCTGGCAGGAGAATAAAATTACTAATCAAGCCAGTCATCAAAGCCAAGACACAAAACAATTGTTTTGTCTGCTGCTCTGTTGATTTTAAAGCTCTGTGTGCACCTGGTATTAGATCAGTTTTATGATTTACTAGTTACATTTAATTCAATTCAATTTATGTATATAATTCAGATTCGCAACAGGTCATCTGAAATCACTTTACAGAGACAATACATTCAGATTGGATAAAGGTTTCTGCCAAGGAAAACCAGTTAATAATATCCAGTCGTTGACTTACAAGACATGCTCCTCCTGGATGAGCAAGTTGCAACAATTTTCGCTTTCATTTTGTCGTTGATGCTTCAGCAATACCTCACATTGAGCATGCATTTAGCGACAGTGGAAAGGAAAACTCCCTTTTAACAGGACGAAACCTCCAGCAGAATCAGGCTCAGTGTGAGCGGCCATCTGCTGAAGCTGAATGGAGTTGAAGGAGACAGAAGCAGAGATACAGAAAGAAGCAGTCTACAAAGCCAGGCAGAGAATTTGCTAGTCAGCTCCCATGTCAGAGGATGAAAGAGAGCCCATCCAGTTAGTCACAGTCAGAGAAACAGGGCTAAGGCAAAAATCCATCATCTATAAACAAAGGTGGTGATTATGGCAGCCTAGCTTATATTTCAAGAATTATATAAGGACCAGAAGAAGCTACTATGTCAGGAAAAATAAGAGAAAATAACATTAGTTGAACTTGAAAAATACTTCAGAATGGGAGAATAGAGATAGAATAAAGTAGAATGATGAAAAGTGGTCCCTATGTCCTCCAGCACCCTAAACTTAAAGCAGCATAAATATAGAAAATAGCTCAGGGTAACCCAACTATTTTGCATGAAATATGAGAAAGGTACTAGACCTAAGACAAAAACTGGTAAGTATCTGTTATGAGTATGCTTTTATTCATTGATACAGCACTCATAAGCCCTACTATGAAGCTGATCTTCTGTTTAATGCACCATCTTGAGGTTTGAGTATGTGAGTTTGTACGGATGAAATGACCTGGTCAGGATACAGAGCATCCCACAGCACACATGCTATACCTCTAAGGAAATGAGTCTGCTCTTTCTCCACAGATCCTTCCCAGAGCCGAAGCATGAATGATATTTCAGACACACCCAGTACAGACCAGGTGAGCCTTGTTTTAAAGTATTTTGTATAAATCTATCTAATTGGGGTTTTTTAGCACCTCAGCCTGCACAGGTCGTTAATACCTGATTAAACTTTTAACTTCCAGTCTTTTTTTAAGGGATTATTGCTGTTTGTATCAGAACCGTTTGGCTACAAATCCAATAATAATCCTCTTCCTGATGTTTTCAATGCCTTAAAAACAAAAATGTAGATTAGGCCAACTAAACAATTCTGTACTTTGTCACATAACGACCTCAAACTTTATTGTAATTATGTGAACTATATGCTGTGAATAACAGAAAGTTGTATATAATTCCAAAGTAGATGAAAAATATACTTAGTTTTGAACAAAATGAATAATCTGGAAATTTACTTTCAGAGTTCACCTCTAAGTAAATTAACATTCTAGCTGATCTAATGTAGCATTATCCAGCATTCCAGTTAAATCTTTATTTCCATGGAAACTGTCAAGAGACATGAGAAAAGTTGAGCAGAGTAGCAGAATGTCCATGGTGACACTGGAGGAGCTGCAGAGACTCCGAGCTCTATGGAGGGAACTTTGTTCCACTATTGTTGCAAGCACAGAAAATGTTTTGCAAATGGAAATCATAAAAAAAGGGTTAGGGGACATATTGTTCCTAATGGGAGCAACTTGCTACACACTAAGAGAAAGACGTAGCCCATTTAAATGAGGCCATAAATAATCGAATAAAGAAAATTCGATCTTCTAAAAATTCACCAACCTCTTCTCTCCATGTGTACAAGACTGGTAATGTCCTTAAAAATCATGAAGGCCAAATAATAAACAGTTTGAATAGAGCAGAAAATGTTGTAATTGAGGTGACCTTTCTTTTACATTATGAGTTAAAATATATATTCTATAAACCTTTGTTTTTTCAGATTCAAAAAATCCTCTTGTGTTTACTACAGTTTTGATAAGGGAAGGTGTGTGGTAGAGCAGTAATGTGGGGGGCCCAAAAACAGAGGTTGGTGCGCTCTGTACAGTTTTATCAACTCGAGATCTTCACTGCACCTCTTACTCCCTTTCCTCTATGCCATAAAAGCCAGAAGTGCCTCAAAAATTGGGCTTTTTTATAAAATTACATGTTTCCACATATTTACGCTTTGTTTTTCAAAGGGACTTTACTTATTTTAAAAGGGCTTGAATTTATTTAAGTATTTCCTTGTTGTGCTGAAATAACCTGGTGATTCTCCTTTCATGATAGGGGTGTTTTGTTTGTGATGAAAAAAATGGAACTAACTAATCCCTTTTAATCCACACAGTGGGGCGGATTAAAATGGGAATTTGTTAAACTGTGCTTTACGCACACGCAGGTTTGCACGTATAAGTCATTGTTGATTTGTTCAGACAAATATTTTGAATTTGTCAGAACTTGATTACATTTTAATATTTCTGGAATATAAACTTATCTAGGTATGTAAGTGAATCGGCTGGTTTACTCCCATCCCTTATTAAGGTGCTATCTTTATAAAGTCTCCATGGTTACTAATTGTATCACCTAAGCATTGATTCAAACTCCACTTGTCGGCATGAACTGCTTAGGTTAACTTCCTGCATAACCTACATATGTTCCAGCTCTGTTGGTTTTTGTCAGAATCAATTGTTCAGTTGGAGACACTCAATCATCTTAACTTCTAGACAAAGCATACCTTAGTTTTGTGTTTTCAATGCGCTGAGATGAGTAAAATGTTAGGAAGGAAACAAAAGCAGATGAATAAAAACGAAGAACTATAGAAAGTAACATTGCAAAAAGATTTTCAGATGCATTAAGAGATCAAAACCATTACTGCTCCAGCACTACCAACCCTACCAGTTCATTTAGTTCTTATCTAGGTTTCAACTGATTGTGGTTTCTGCACCTGTTCGAAGTGAAAAAAGGTTTAATTACTTATCGCTGTTTTGGCTGGATGGAGCCGGCTTTACTGGACCTTAAACAACATGTTGACATCTGTTAGGGTTATTATTGATGATGTGTGAGTCTCTTACACACTAATATTTCCTGCCTTTTGTGTGTCAGAACTACTGTTTTTCCCAAATAGTTTATCTTATTGGGACAGCTCCTCTGTCCGGATAAAAATTCATCTTCATTATGCACATGGTAAAGATTTGGAAATAAAATGAGAGTGGTGTCTCTGATCTAAGAACAAAGTGTAATGTGTAATAATGTGATGATGTGGCAGACTGGAGTTGTATAAAATGCTTCTTTAACTGTGAATCGTGGCCACTTCAATGAGATGTGAGCCTAGTTGGTAAGCAACTGCTTTCTATAACTCTGAGCAAATCTCTGGTCTGAGTAAGATTACAATTTCTGTCAAAACCTGTTGTCATGTCTTATGATCATATAATAAATATACATTATGAAGTGTTATTTAAATAGTTGGTCCCGAGTGATATATTCTCCAGAAAAGAACCAGAGAGACAAAACAGAGCCTTCTTTAACAAGTCCTTGTGACGGTATTTTATTTTAATTTATTAAGATTCCACACTTTACAGGGTTCAAAATCAGAATCAAGTTTATTGACAAGTAGGTTTGCACTTACAGTACAAGAAATCTGACCTGTTGTTGATGGTGCAGACAAATTAGGTATATATACAGAATAGAGGATCTATAGTTATATACTATATAAATATACAATATATTATATCCGATATAGTATATAGCTATGTATTGCATACACAGTAGGCTATGCGTTAATATAATGCAGGAGGTCTGGAGATGTGACTTTGGTGTAGCTTCTAGGTCCTGAACGAGGGAGGGAGAGAGGCACTGTCAGGGTCTCTGGGGTGTCTGGGCCTTGTTGATAAGGCTGGTAGCGGATGGGAAGTAACAGTTCTTGTAGCGTGAGGTTTTGGTCCTGATGGACAGCAGCCTTCTGCCAGAGGGAAGTGAATAAAAAACTGGGGTACGAGGGATCAGCCACAGTCTTTCTACGCCTTAGGTCCCGTCCACACGAAGTCAAAACGAACACGAAACGCTAATATTTTCCAGAACGTTTATCGTAAAGACGGAGACGTAAAATAAATGTGATCGACCACACGAATGCATGAAAACGCTGCAAAATGTATGCCAGGCCTGTAAGTGGTGCTGTGGTGCCAAAGCAAAAATAGGCGAAAACAGGCAATGAAATGTTGGGCATGCGCAGTAATATTTATAAAACAACCCTGCGGGTCCATTTTCGTGGTTCAGTCAAATTGAGGTGATTAACTATGT